GCACTACACTGACAGCCGATTTTGAATTGAAGCCCTGAGCAAGAAACATTGCATTACATAGCTAGAATTTTCAAGAAGATTTTGCACAAATATTTCTTGCCTTTGTAGCATCTGACCGTCAAAGAAACGAGTATCTCCCTAAACCCCCAGCATCCTTTTAAATGTCTTTTTTAATCTTATTTTTTCTCAGATACTGGTTGGTTATTGCTCTGTAGTTTCATTAAAGGAATGTTCTGGGTTTAAAGCAAGTGACATGCTGTGGCGTGCTTTCGATTACAATGGGAAATAATTTGCACTATTCCTGTTTATAGTAATGTACTATAGAGCAAGGCATTCCAGAGTGTAAATACTTTTTTTTTTAACATTTAAAATAATTATCCCACACAAAAATCTGTTTTGTGAGCTTTAAATGAATTTGCGTTGTCCTTTTAGGAGTGGAAATTCTGGTTATGTGTAATTAATGTAATAATATTTGTGATCATGGACATGACAGAAGGTTTGAAATTGAATATATAATTTATAACTAGTCCAGTTACTTATTTTTTATCAAACTAGTCTCATGTTGAAGTTTGTATGTAATGTATATTAATTTGATCATACTACAGTACAATGCCTTTCCTCATAGGTTTCTATTGCATTACTGTGCGCACAATTTTTTCTTGTCAAAACTTTTGGTATTAATCGACAGACACCACAGATGCAGTCAGGAGAGTTTAACATTCCTTTAATATTCATTGATAAAATTTAAAAAAGTGATGTTTAATTGAATATATACACTATTATTCAATAATTTGGTCATATTTTTAATGTTTTTTAAATTGGTCTCTTACGTCTATTATGCATTTATTTGGTCAAAATACAGTAAAAACAGTAATATTGTGAAATGTATGTTTCATTTTAAAATGTAATTTATTCCTGTGATGCAAAGCTGAATTTCAGCTGTCATTTTTAAGTCTTCATTGTCACATGATTCTTCAGAAACCATTCTAATCTGATTTGGTGCTCAAGACATGTTTCTTATTATTATCATCGCTGAAAACATTTGATATGTTGTTAATATTTTTGTGTAAACCATGATGCAGGATTCTTTCATTAACAGTTCAAAAGTATTAATTGCTTAAATTGTACTGACCCTAAATTTGTATGTAATGTAATGCATTCTCATTCATAAATCACCGGTATGCTTTCTTTCATAACTTTTTTTTATTTGTTTCTCTCTGTTCTCCTGTTTCTCAGTGCATGTCATCAAGACAGGCTGTTTTGGGCTTGGGAGGAGGGTGTCCGAGTTCACGACTCCCAGACGCGGGTCAACCCCGACAAACTGTCTAAAGACGACGTGCTTTCCTTTATCCATCAGCACTGTCAACAATAAAAACACATGTACACATCACACTGAACATAGCATAGACTGTACGTTCTCCTCACCACCAGGGTGCACTGTAGCTTTCACCAGAGTCTGCTGAGAAACATTCAAACTCTGTTTCTTCACACTTCAAGGCTCTCTCCAAAATAGCCCCTGTGAGTTATACGACAGGGCGTCTTGGTGCTCGGTGGTGTGTATCTGCGTGTGTCCATTATCTTTAGAGGAGAATGAAACTTAGATGACATTGCTTTTCCCTTGTCCACATGTTTTTCTCCTGAACTTCAAAACCTGCTTCCTCACATGAATTATTCCTCCTCTAATCGATCAGATGTGTAGCTGCAGATTCTACTCATCAGTGCAAACCATTAGATAACCATGTAAAACAGCATGGCAGTGTGCATTCGCTCTACTGTGTGCATGTGCTGCCTTGTTTTGCTCATTTAGTTTTTTCAAACATTAGAATGGGAATTACTTGCCATTTCTGGTGGTTTTGGAAACGGATTTGAATTTTAAACCTGTTCGTGATGTTGATTACATTAAACCACTGAGGAAGTTTATTCCTTGAGTAATCGTGGTCCGCTTCATTATTCGATTCTATTGGGTTTAAAGTCACAATGAATTGGAAGCAGCGACAGATGTATTCTAGCGTGTAAAAAAGAGAAAATAAAGGGCGGTGGGACTACATTCTATTCATCAGTTGTTGATTGGATTTTGAGATGTGGGTGAGACACTCAAAAGCTGGTTTTTTTTGGTTTGTTTTTTTTCTTTTTTCTCGACAAAAGCTGAAAGACCAAGAAGAGCATAACACTTGATTTTATGCTCCATTGTAGGAAAAGAAAACTGTGACGGAAGATTTGGAGCTGGGACCTCTGCTGATAAGACACTCCATTTGTTTCTGCTTGCACTGAGAATCCACACAATCTGGAAGAACAGACTGTCTGAATGAAGTGTTTGAACAATGAAAACTTACAAATGCTAGAAGAGAACTATATATATTTTTTGAAGGAACTAGAATTTTTTTTTGTATGCGTTATTCACGTTACATGTCATTTCAAATCAGCTGTTAAAGGAATAGTTCACCCAAAAATGAGAATTTGCTGATAATTTATTCACCCTCAGGCCATCAAAGTTATAGATAACTTTGTTTCTTAATCAGAACAGATTTGGTGAAATTTAGCATTAGATCACTTGCTCACCAATGGATCCTCTGCAGTGAATGGGTGCCGTCAGAATGAGAGTCCAAACAGCTCATAAACACGTCACAATAATTAACAAGTAATCCACACAACTACAGTCCATCAATTCATGTCTTGTAAAGCAAAAAGCTGTAAGAAACAAATTTATGAAGATGTGAAAGAAAAAAAAACTCGTTTGAATCAGGAGAGAAGTATGCACAGATCGAACACAGTTAACAAGCAAAAACTGTTCAAAATTAAATATACATTTCTCCAAATCTTGAATTTACATTTTGGATGGCCTGAGTGTGAGTAAATTCTGAACAAATTTACATTTTGGGGTGATCTGTTCCATTAATGTTTATATTACCGGAAAATGTTCATGCTTTATAGTTGCATATAGTTTACGTTTTGTGACAATACATGCAATCATACATTTGAGATTTGTGATATAGTATAAGTCTCTTTTGTTGCTGTGCAATAATACGGTTATATTCTGTGATGAATTTAAAAAAGCAGTGTTTGCTTTTGCAAAAGTCACCTTAGGAATGGTGTGGCTACATGTTTGCTAAGGTGCCTTGTGGTTGTTATGGTGTTTGGGTGGTTTCTTGCAGATATTCTGGTCCCTAGATGTCCCTTCTTTAATAATAAGTCCATGGGATTTTTTATCCGCCACCGGTCTGATTGTGTTTTTCATGTCAAACTTTAATACTTTAGGCTTAGGAGTTTCTTCACATCTGAACCCCAGGTTTTATGATTCAGGATAGCGATGCAACCTTCGCAGGAGGAGGGAAAGATGGAGCATGGCAGGTCCAATTTTTTTGTCATGTCATATTCAGTACACTTTTATATCTGTATTTTGCTTCTCTAGAACAACAATACACGAACTGTCACCGTGACTGACACATCACTAATGAGTGTATTGTGTATCTTGCTGTGTATTTTCATTTCTTCTCAGAAGCTGTAGGTTTCTGGCATCTCAAGGACGGCAGGACACAGGCGGTCTTTTGTATGCAGGTGTAATGAGAGTCTCCCACACCCTGTTTCCCTATCCATCTCTTGCTTTGAGTTTGTGACTGGAAAGCTAAGCAGAGATTCACCTCAAAGGACAATTAAATTTCCCTTTAGATGGCTTCCGTTAGAGAGGTTCCTCTCAGCCGAGGGCTCGCTTGCTCGCTGGCTGGGTAACCAAATGGGAACTTATATAAACTCTGTTTATGTTTTTCTGTCCCCCCCTCCCCATCTCCATTCACACACTCTCTCTTTCTTTTCTGGCCAAGAGGTTCAATGTGCCATCTCCCGAAAGCAATTGAGCAGCGCTGCAGCAATACTGCCCATCACTAGCCAGTAGGGAAAGCGTCCAGAAGATATAACAGTATTCTATCTTCCCGCTGGGCACCAGAGTTTTATTAAAATTAAGGTTAAAAGTCTGGTCATTGCGAAGATGTCTGGAAACTCAAATTAAATTGACCAAAGGGGATTCAATTACAAAAATATATATATTTTTATTTATTTAGAGATGTTATATAATGTTACCATAGAAGTTGCGACATAGTATCATAGTGATATGTTTTTATAAATATGTTTATTTATTTATTTTATTCTTATGATAATGCATAGTCCACAGTTGGTTATTTGTTAGTTTACCATTTTTGGGCAACATCAGTGCGTTTAGACATTTGAATCAAACATTTGGAAAGTTCAAATGTTCGGTAAATTTCACTTTACAAAAAGCACTGTAGTGGTATATCATGCTATGGTAATGATAATATTTGGTAATATGATTAATATATAATATATCAAAGCTACTAAGATTTCCTTTCAGTCATATGATGCCAAAAATTGCTGTCTAGGTGGTAGGCAGATCACTAGAGGTAGTTTCTGATTTATTGTCAAAACAATACATTCATTAGTATTAAATTATCACTTTTATATAGTGAATGATTACCAATTTAGTGTAGGCTATAGTATTATGGAACTTAAAATATTGTAACTTTTATTTTAGCGTAGCAGCATTATTATTTTTTTTTTTAGTTCAGACGTTTAAATCGAACATTTGATTGCCAAAAATATGCTATTTATGTTGGCAACTCACTAGATTTTGACACAAAACATATCGATGCATCAGCAAAACAATATCCTACTGATTTATTAATATTGCTTTTTGACTTTAAAGAACATTTGGTGCTTTTTTGTTAATTTAGACAGCATTTATGAACATCATAGATGTGCTTAGATGTTTAAATCGAACATTTGATGGCCAAAAATGCTGTTTATGCAGACAGCTCACTAGATTTTGAGACATCCGTAGTGCTTTCCGATTTATCGGCAGATTCGGAACTCGTGTATTGACATGTGGTGCTGAGGAGAAGGCTACTTGAGTATTTTTGCTATTTATATTGCGCAACGTCGACGTTTACCACAGCTCAGCCGGATTTTAAAAGCCGTGGGTGTTTGGAAAACTGGATATTTGAAAATCGTTTCCCCGCATCAATAGATTAAACGTCCCCGAAGGTTTCAGATCCATATCTGACACCACATCTCATAAATATTGGATGGCTTTTGTAATATTAAAAATTGATGTTTTCAATTTAAGTTTTCAAAGCGGAGTCGGAGTGTCCTCGCTGAGGGAGGGCGAGAGGAGGTCCAGTCAGACTCTACCTACCTGCCGATCAAACGCGCGCTGTCTCCTCAGGTGCGCGAGGGGGACAGACTCAAACGCACCGATGATGCTCGCTCTGCCCAAATTGTAAGGAAAGCCACATACACGTGTGACGCCTGAGACGAGTGAGACCTAGATTTTGGAGTCATTTGAAGACTTATCTCAAACTCCCGTGGAGCTGCAATGGCATCGATCGGGGAGTTTGATCCGTTAAACAGCAGCGTACCTGCCACCAAAATAGAGATCACCGTCTCGTGCAGGTAAGAGCGAATATCGCGTATTATAATATTGCTGATGTTCATAATTCGGTACGTCTTAAAAGCGGTGTGTCTTTTCTCTCGTGGCTTTCGCCGTGTATGGTTTTTGTTCGTTTGAAAAATATTAGTAACTATTCAAATACATTTGAATTTGGCCATTTAGAAGATGCCATTAAACCAAGCGTCTTACAAAATATACAAAGCAGCGACTGAGGAGTTAAGCAAAAATTAAACTATTGGAAATGTTGGGTAGACTATGCATTTGCGAGACACTCTGGCTTGAGGGGTATTCGAGTTTCGTATAAATACCGTGGTACATGAATATGACAATCTTTCAGCACCATGGTAGGCTATATAGGGCAGCAACAACAACCATACCCTTACAAAACGGTAACGTTACTGTGGCAGTACTATGGTACAGTCAGTACCATGTTACTTCTTCCTACTTTTACATAACCAATTAAAGGGACATGTCTAATATTCAAAATAGTGGTCAGAATTTTTTTTCCTCTCTATTTTCCAGGTCATTAACTTGACATTTGGTCAATCTTGATTTTTTTGGAGATATATATATATATATATATATATATATATATATATATATATATATATATATATATATATATATATATATGTGTGTGTGTG